ATTTCAGCCAACAAGGATCTTCAACAGATTAGCATAACCAATTAGTACCATTTGAAAAATGATGAGCACAATATATTCAGCACCGCCATCTCAAACTAAGTGGAATTAGATTTAAACCTGAAGCGGAAGTTCAAAGGACCTTGTGCTGCTTCTCAAAGAGTCTGCGCATATAGATAACGAAAAAAAGAACAAGGACCAAATAGTGGAAACTGAAATGGAATCATGTACTGGAAGAGTGTGCATGTGAAAGCCCGGTAGGTAGGCCAAACACCTATCAACTACTTGCATGCTAAGGACCGTTTAAGGTTGCTGTACTTTATTAAAAAATATTTAATTAATACAAATTTCATCACAAGTATTTATTAATTATTTATCATATTGTTTGGGTGTACACTTATATGAGTATTTTTTATTTGATAATTTATAAATTTCAATTTTTATTTATTGCAACACAAAAATTGCTCTAAAAACACTAATCTTGAGTTTATTCTATAAATGTTTTATTGGCTAAAAACTCTACTCCTAATAAATTCAAAAAATGTTGTTCACCAAACACATTAGATTGGCTTTGTCCTTCTTTAGTAAAAACACCGTAGGCCCAAAATGGGACCTAAAGCATCTTACGGTACATTTGTTTTTGGCATGCATAATGCCCGTTCTAATCAACTTACTATATTATTTTTTCCTAATTAACGGGAAGCCTAAAGCCTAATGTCATGTACTCTCAAACAAATAAGTACAAATATAGGGCTTACTACATTTTATTTATAGTGAAAGTGCCCGAAATATAGGACAAATGTATTTGTTCATTATTTTATTTTTATTTTTTTCAATAATGCCAGCACCGTGCGTAGCACGGGTATTCCCACTAGTTAACATGTAAAACTAATTCTTTTTCTAGATGAGGATCGCTCCATTACTTGCATCAATTTCAAGGCATACATGTTTAATTTGTTGCAGTTTATATGTTCTCTCGCTATCATTGATAAGCACTCTGAAAATTGTTTCCTGCCTACTTGTTTATCCCTTTAAACACGAATTGAATAGAACTATTGTATAGTGCAAAGGTTACAGAAAGATTTATCTTGGTGTTACTTGGCTGCAAAGCCAAATCTTAGTGAACGAATTTATAGATATGGGCTGATCTATATTCCAATAGGCAGCTGCCTTTTGGCCTGACTGTCTCAAATGTTAATACTAGCTTCGTAGGCACTATGTTTTCTCCTTTCATTTCCTTTTTGCGATTCTGTGTGTTTGCTGCTGCAGATTCTAAGGGTGTATTTGATAAAATTAAAATTTAAAAATTAAAATTTAAAATTTGAATCTATTGATTTACTGAATTGTTAAGCACTAATCTGATATATTTGACTGTATATCACATTAAATGATAAGTGAATAACTTATCACTTAATTTTTGAAACGAGTTTTGGTTAAAAAATTTAGTACCACTTAATTAATTCAGATATTTTACTCTTGATTATTAAACGCATTTGAATATGTTAAGATCTTAACTTATTAGACTTAAATGTTGAATTAAATTATAAAATAAGGCCTAAATCTACTAACGTAGTTCAAGAGAAGAAATTAGTTGAATTTGACGACTAATCATTTTGATGAGCCCCTATCAATATAAGTAATGGGGAAGATAAGTGTCATCTATTTGCCAATTTCTTTAATTTTTTTATTTTAGCTATGAAATACTTTAGTTTTCGATTGTTACCATTGGTCTCGAGTCGTGAACCTCAGTTATCTTCTTGTATTTTGGTTGCAAGGCGTGAAAAGTGTTCCAGATTGAGCCTGATTGAAGGAACTAGGCTACTTTTCTTAGTTAAACAAGTAGCCACCAGGCACACTCATCTACGTGGACATTACAGACATGCACACACACAGTTCTACAGCTGTTGCATATTTTAGACCTCTAGACAGATTGTTTGTCTTGAATTTCTTTGGGTTGTTGATCGACCCAATCTCTTGCATTATGAATGCATCTCTTACTTTATTAGTATCTTTTCCTTGAAAGGATCTGCCTGTGAGATAGCAGGGATGGAAATGGTTTAGCAAGTAGGTACTTTAAATTGTACCGTCCAAGCATTTCAAACTCAATCTTCATCCACTAGTCGCTTATAGGATATATACATAGCCTTTCAAGAATCTGAAGAGCTTATATTTAATTAATCTTTCACAGAATCACATGTAGATTCGCTTCATGCATATAATAATACAACAAATTTGATAATGCCTATGGCAACTAAATCTTATTGGCCTGTGGAAACATTTCTCTATTATTCCATCGAAAGGTTATATATCACTTTCCCTTGTTCACCCTACTGTCCAGATCAAGAAAGTCCATGCATGATGCAACCATAAATAGCCACCAAAACATTGCTTCTCCTCATCGAAGCTTTAACCCTCAGTTTTTGTCTCTTGTTGTCTTTGTCCCTCACACATACCACACACACTGATGATGGATGCTTCTTTTCAATGTTCTTCTAGCCTTAAATGCGAGTTAAGCATCATAAGAGCTAAAAATATTGAGTTCAAGTCTTCAGGACACTTGTTTGTGAGATGCTATCTTTCAGCAGGAAACAACACAAGAGTCCAACTCAATACCAAAGAAATCTCATCCAAATCTGATTTGTTTTGGGATGAATTTTTTTCACTGCAGTGCCAAGGAACTGAAGATGCCATCAACTCCTTGAGGCAAGGGAACGTTGCCTTTGAGTTGAGATGGAGAAGCACTAAACCAATTCTTGGAAGACTTATCGGTGGATCAAAAATCTTGGGAAGAGCTGAAATTCCCTGGAAAAATGTTTTTTGAATCACCAAACATGGAAATTGAGACATGGGTTCGGATGAATTCAAAGAATCCATGCTTGCATCAAGATGTCAAGCCCCCCTCAGTGCAGGTCAAGTGAAGTTGGAGTTCCAGAGATGACTAACGAAAGGAGGTGGGATGATTCATGTGGTTGCAAAGACGGTGGATGTCAATCTCTTGATTATGTTGATTATGACTACTTTGCACTTGGATTTGCTCTAGAGGCCTTGTAGATTAACGGCTGTCAAGCACTAAGGTGCTTAATTAATTTTAGATTAGCTTAATGGATTAGTTCTACGTAGTCATTCATAATACTAATATGTGCACTTACTTAGCACAGGAGTTTTGCTGACAATTGTATGTTTTCAGTAGGCAGCTTTTGTAAGTCGTTTTGAAGAAATTGCGAATCCAACTTCTCTTCAATTTTTCTAGTCCCTACTTTTTTTTCCCCTTTTCCATTTTTTCCCCTTCTAAATTATTATTTCCGATTGGTATATCTACTAACGTGGAAGTTCATATTTATCCCCATAATACAAGCCAAACTAAAGAAGGGTGAGAGACCTGAGAAGTGTTTATAGTTGGAGAACTCGTAATATAGTTCCATTTTGTTTGGTAGAAAATGAAAAAAAAATTTACATATTAGCTGGAGGCACTTTTAGTAATTAAATTACATGGAAAATAGGAAAAAAAAAAAAGAAGACTAGCAATAACTATTTTGTTTCAAATTCTCGACAACTAGATCAGTAGTACTCTGGAGATGTAGGCTCAACAACCAGCAAGAGGATAAGTGAATCAAACTTGGCTGCAAAAAAATAAATAAATAAAGGATTCATTGCAGTACAATATAGTAGTTAATTAAAATTTTTTCCTGATTTAATGGGAAGTATTAGTACTATTATTTGATATGAAGGAAAGAGTTTCTAAGCTGAATGAACACATCATTTACAAAAATTAACAAAAGGGAAAATCTACAAACTAACATATATTTCAATATTTTGAGCTAAAATATACTTAAATTGTACGTGGTGGGATTCCTTTAATCTCAGGCTTATATATAGTTCAGATAAGCATTATATTGGGCACAGTTGAAATGCTTAACGTATAAAACTGATTCTTTTTCTGGATGAGGATCTCTCCACTGGGCATTGTTTTCAAGACTTGCATGTTCAATTTGTCCTATTTTATAAGTTCTCTAGCTATCACTCTGAAAATTATTTCCTGCCAACTTGTTCATCACTTTAAAAGACACAAACTATAGAACTATATATATTCTAGTGTACAAATGGGGGTACATATATAAAGATTAAAAAAGGAAACTTTATAGTTTCCCGTGGGTACTTAGCTGTAAAGCCAAATCTTAGTGAACTAGTTTGTTTGTTGGGATTCTTTGTCGTAGATATGCACTGATCTATATTCCAATAAGTTGCTTTTTGGCCCGACTGTCTCAAATCTTAATCCTAGGTTCGGAGGCACTGGTTTGTTGAGTGGATCCGTTTGGACAGTCTATTTTGAGGAAAAAAAATCACAAATATTATCTTACTTGTATCATAAACACAGTTTTTTTTAATTATTTTTTTAATTTCACATACATCATATCATAAAAAATACTATAATATTATTCTAAGTCATTTTTTAAAATAATATTTTATATGTTTAATGCATGGACTGAAATCTGAATGGTCAAGTGATCAACCCACTAAATTGATTTATCTAAGTGTTTTAACTCAATCTTCATCCAACAGTCGTTTATGGGAGGAGAAAAACATATAGCCTTTCAAGAATCTGAAGAGCTTATATTTAATCCAACAGTTAATCTTTCACCAAATCACGTGTAGATTCACTTGATGCCATCTAATAACACACCAGATTTCTTCATATTGCTTGTTGCAACTAAATCTTATTGGGCCCGTGGCTATCTTTCTCGATTATTGAGGATAAAGCAAGTTGTAATTTCATTAAAAAAAAAAAAAATTTATACCACATTTAACAAAAAAAAAAAAAAAAAGGAAAAAGTCATGCCACCATCCTTCTCCTCTCCCAATAATGAAATGAAGTTCATGCATGAATCATGATGGGAGCTATAAATAGTTCACCAAACCAAAGCTTCTCTTCATCAAAACATCACTCCTTAATCATTATCGTCTAACCCAGTCTCTGTCCTTCTCATACAGTTCTCACCGTGAAAATGGATGCTTCTTCTCAATGTCTCTCAAGTCTTGTGTGTGAAGTAAGCATCATAAGAGCCAAAAATTTTGAGTTCAAGTCTTCAGGAGACTGGTTTGTCAGATGCTGTCTTCCAACAGGAAACAACACAAGAAGAGTCCAACTCAATAGCAAAAAAATCTCATCCGAATCTGATTTGTTTTGGGATGAATTCTTTTCGTTAGAGTGCCTAGGAACTGAAGATGCCATCAACTCATTAAGGCAAGGCAGTATTGTCTTTGAGTTGAGAAGCATTAAATCAGTTCTTGAAAGACTTACTGGTGGATCAAAAATCATGGGGAGAGCTGAAATTCCATTGGAAAATGTTTTCGAATCACCAAACATTGAAGTCGAGACATGGGCTAGGATGAATTCAAAGAATCCACGCTTGCATCAAGATGTCAAGCCCCCTCAGTGCCGGTAGAGGTGAAAATTGGAGTTCCAGAGATGACTAACGAATGGAGTCAAAATAATGACAGGTTGAGGAGGAGGAGGTGGGATTATTCATGTGGTTGCAAAGAAGGTGGATGTCAATCTCTTGATTATGACTTGTTTGCACTTGGATTTGCTCTGGAGGCCTTGTAGATTAGGGGTTGTAAAGCACTAATAAGGTGCTTAATTAATTTAGATTAGCTTAATTAGGTGAATGGTTCTGCTTAGTCATCCTGCTTAAAGAAAACAGCATTTGCAAAAAGTAACAAAAGAGAAAGCTAGTACGTACTGTTTAATGAGGATCTCTCCATTACTTGCATCAATTTCAAGGCTTACATGTTTAGTTTGTTGTAGTTTATATGTTCTCTCGCTATCATTGATAAGCACTCTGAAAATTATTTCTTGCCTACTTGTTCATCACTTAAAACACGAATTACATAGAACTACTGTATAGTGCAAAGGTTACATAAAGATTTAAAAATAAATCTTTTTGGTATTCTTGGTGTTACTTGGCTGCAAAGCCAAATCTTGGTGAACGAATTTATAGATATGGACTGATCTATATTCCAATAGGCAGCTGCCTTGTGGCCTGACTGTCTCAAATGTTAATACTAGCTTCGTAGGCACTATGTTTTCTCCTTTCTTTTACTTTCTGCGATTTTGTGTGTTTGCTGCTGCAGATTCTAAGGTGTATTTGATAAAATTGAAATTTAAAAATTAAAATCTGAAATCTAAAATCTAAAATTTGAAATATGAATTTATTGATTTACTGAATTGTTAAGTATCAAATCTGATACATTTGACTGTATATCATCACATTAAGTGATAAGTAAATAACTTATCACTTATTTTTTGAAGCGAGTTTTGTCTAAAAAATTCAGTGCCACTTAATTAACTCAGATATTTTACTCTTGATTATTAAATGCATTTGAATATGTTAAGATCTTAACTCATTAGATTTAAATGTTAAATTGAATTATCAAATAAGGCCTAAATCTAACAATGTAGTTCAAGAGAAGAAATTAGTTGAATAGGGTCCATGTTAAGCTTTCCTTTTCGTTTCTCTTCATTTTTGGTTGCAACTTAATTATGACTTTTTATCACGAGAAAGGCAAATATTGCTTGCATCGACTTAAGACAAAATGATAATGAGACTTAAAAAATCATTTGCATAATTGTCGCGAAAATGTGGATGTGAATTACTAAAAAATATTGTGACAAGGACATTGAATGATAAATATAGAGAACTAAATGATTACTCGTAGAGGTATAAAAATGGATATATGGATCATAATTGATTTCATATAAATGGATCATGGATTCAATGATTCAATCCTCTTAAATCCAAAATAAATGGTGTATGTGGATTGGATCCAAATGGATAATAGAGATCCAATTGTCCATTAAAATCCATTTAACTAATACATAACTAATTCTATCATTTCATTTTTCTATTTTTTCTCTATTTTTTGATTTCTATTTCTTGCCTATCTTTTTCTCTTTTGGCTGAAGAAAGAGGAATTAAAGCTTGTAGAGTATCTAATCCTTAAATTTGAACAAAATTCTCCTTCTCCTTTCCATTTTAGTAAGAAAATAATCTTTAAATTTGATAATTTTAGGAAAAATTAAGAAGGATTTTGTGAAGAAAATGCCAAAATTTAAACTTTTTTTCAAAAAAGAAAAAGAAAAGAAAATTATGCAGGAGCGAAAATGGAGGTAACTCCGAAGAGCCGGACAAAGTGAACAGAAGAATTTATTCTTCCAATGGCAATCTAAAATCATGTTGGTGTTGGGCTAGATTGCCTACGCGGCTCAGAACCAGAGAATGTTCAGTGATAAAAAGGAAGAAAGACGGAATCTATTGAGATATTTGACTTTCATTGAATTCTTGGATGGGAAAAATTTGTGATTGAGATAGTTTTCTGGCGAGCAACGAGTACCTGGATTTGTTTTATTACTTTCTTAAATGGATTTAGATGGATTATCCACTTGAAACCATCAAACCAATTGGTTTTACGCAGATGTTCATCAATATTTATCTAAATTTCTTTAGTAATCCAAAACCATTTGAATGAGAGACGGATATGGATGGTTAAATGGATATGGATGAAAATTGTCACCTCTAATTACTCGCATAAATGTTGCAAAATCTGGATGAGAATTACTAGGAATACAGAATGGATACTTATTTTATAATTTTGTTACTCTTTACAATTTTTTTTCCTAAAATTTTAACGCTTTTCATCAAATTTCTATGCCATTTCATTGTTGCGAGTAATTGTATAATCGTAAAATCTATACAAACTAATTTGGCTGAATTAAACTACGCTTGTTTGATCAAAATATTGGAGACCAGCTTTATCAAAATTAATACTTTGTGACTACATTTATTTGAACTGATATATTAAGGACCAAGTCAGTCCACAGTCCAAAAATATTGGGAAATAATATTGTATTTTCCCTACTAAGTTGAATACGTTATTTAACATAACGCTATTATATACCAAAGAACTCAACCCAAGAATTGAAAACCATACTGATTTCCAATCTCCAATAACCTAAAAAAGAGCTTTCTACCCGTCAAAAATACAGGTCAAGATCGTGTTGTTATATAGATCAAGATTGTCGAGTCATGGCATGGACCGGAAGCAACAGAAGAAGCTGCTTCTTGGATTGGGCAAAATAAACAATCAAGTAGTCAACAGTTTCATTGTGCCATATAATTAAACCGGTGATAATTAAAATCTAGACCTTCGCTATGAACAACGGTGAATATATAATGCAAGGAAGCTAATATCATAACAACCACTTGTTGCAACACATAATTTTGTAATTATCTAATCCCTACACACGAAGCAGCCGAATAATTTTCTTGAATTCTTCTTGGTCTTTTCTTCTTCTCCGTTGGCATAGGAATCAATGATCTCTTGACTCTTTAGAAATTTTCCGTTCACCATCTGGTATAACACGAACTAAACTCTCCACATAATTATCCACTACAAAGTACTTGAACCAAAGCCAAGAAGGTTTGATATCATGATAAGCCACCCACTGATGGCATCCTCAATCATTTGGCTATCTGGATCATACAAAACCAGACGTCCTGATTCTTTACGTATTGCTGCTGTATGATGTGCTTGAAATGCCAGAATCTTCCCACCTGATGTGACATCAGTTGTGCTAAGATGAGGCCAGATAACCATATCCGAGTTTTTGTGATCACAAATTGTTTTACCCAAGAACCTTCTTCTTTCATTGCCCAAAGCTCAAATCTCCTGATGTGAAACCACTTACGGAAACACACCCCCTAAACAATCTAAGCCTCCGGTATGAGTTAACGGGAACGTAACTTGGAACCGTAATCACTTGAAATATTTCTCGTTTCATATCAAACGCGTTCAACCAAATGCACCCTTCCTCGTCAGTCCCGCTTATCCAATAAAGGAATCCTTCATGAATCACACCTACACGATCATACGCTCAATCCGTCTGGGCGCTCCGGGAACAGTCAAAGGTTATAGTTTTCCAGGAAAGGTTTCTTAGGGTATAGATCCCAACCTTGTAGCTGACATACCCTTCTGGTACTACTTTCAGCCTGCATGCTTTTGCCACTATATAATCGTCCGTTCCTGGGTCGTAGCCAAAGCCTACAGCAATAGTCCAATAACCTGTGCATATGCTTCTGGTAACAACTTGAATTGCCCTAAAGCCCGGTTCCAAAGATATAGTATCGAGTCCCTGCTACAACAGCAATCCTGGAGAATACATAGCAGCCCATTAGAGCTGCCTACGACGTACATTTGAATCCCAAGATACATGAATTCGTCGCGTTGATGAATAATTGTCCGTTGATTATCAGGATTCGCGAATCTTGGAGCGTCCAAATTAGGCATGGTTGGATGGCAGGGGCAACAGGTGATCCAATTGCGCATGTAGATTTTGCGGGGTGCCTTGTTTTGGAGAGATTGTTGCAGATGAGACTTGATGAATTCTGGATCTGAGTTTATGAGATTCCGCCATGCCTTACAGACGCAAGTCAGTCTTATGAGGGTCTTCACTGGTAGACAAGTCAAGATACAAAAACTGATGATGTCATCTGGTAACGAATGCAAGATACTTGGATTTGAAGGTTCATCGGCCTCCATCTTTGCTGATCCCAGAATTATAACTTAAAATTAAATCTTTGACTCTTGATGTTATACTCTGAGATATCGAAGCGATAAGGGGGGCAAAAGATGACGTAAGCATATGGATCAACAAATTAACAGCAATAGTCGATCTGCTTTTGTTGTCGCATAGGATTAGTACAGCGAGGTTGCTGCTGCCATTAATGTTGAAGTTGATGATCTTCTGCGTATTTCAAGGAAATAAAAATGGCCAAGATTGATTGCGAGAGAGGGAGAGCGGGCGGGATGGGAGAGAGCAGCAAAATTTGTTTTAGTTGGAAGTATTAGACCATTAAGAAGACGTCAGCAATTTATTATGGTTCCTTCTCTGGCTGCTCCGCTTCTAGTGCCGTGCGAGGTTTTGGCTTGGGTTCACATTTACCGGGGCATTCAAGAAATTAGTTTGAGCGTGCTAAAACACAAAGCCAATATATATCTTTGAGTTTTTAGACGGGTGGGTGATCAATCCCAGTGCATACAGTGACAAAATCAGTTGAGGTTTTGACAGGAAGAAATCAAACATACAGTGACAAAATACACCTTACAGAGTGATGACTCTCCAAAAGAAGTAAAAAAAAAAAAAAAAATTGTAAAAAAATGAGACCAAGACCAACATTGAGGATCGCACAATTCAGTCGAAACGCTTGCAAATTTACTATCCATACTATGGCCAACATTTTCATTTTGTCAAGGGCTCAATAGTTCAATTGACTGCTGGAAAAACATGATTTTTTTTTTTTTAAATTTTGAGGGAGAAGAGCTGTGGATGAGGTGCTAGTGTGCTTTGCGCGAGTGCATGACGTGGAAAGACACACCATTACGCCTAGGCATGTCAATGAATCAAATCTTACTCAAATCCAATGCAGATCTAATTTATTTGGGTAAGATTTGAATTTAATTTCTGAAACCTAGATCGTGCCCAAACTCAGATCCTGTAAAAAAATCATGGATTTCAATAGGATCTGATTTTTTATGATCCATATCCAAATTAAAATTCATATCAGACTCTACCCAGACCCATGTATATATAATTAAATTATATATGTATGTGCGTGTATGTATATATATTAGTAAATTTATAAAATATTCTAATATTCTATGGTTATTGGATTAAATACAATAAGACTTCATGATTGTTTCTTTTTTCAACCTAATTCTAGTTGTCATTGTAATTAGCACAAATTTTTTCAGAAAAAGGAGAAAAAATAAAGGTAAATAAATGAAAGATTTGATGTAGATACAATAAAATTTTCAAAAATAAATAGAAGAAGTCGATAGTAATTAGTTTTTTGAGTCTATAATATTGCATTCAATTTTTTGAATATTAATTTTATTATTTGAAAATAAAAATTGGATGGTGTTTATATAGATATATTTTTTAAATCTATATATTTTTATTTTAGTATGTTTACAAAAATATAATGGATACACATTGGATAGCTAGATCCAGGAGCGTCTAGGTTTCAACCTAATTTTCAAATCCATAAGGATCTGGGTTTGTATCTGAGCTTAACTAAATTTAATGGGTCTGAATTTGGATCAAAGGATCAATCCAAATCCTATCCATTGACATGTCTAAGTGTGGTAACACAAAGAACCATGTTAGATTAAACAAGATTAAGTGAAGCAAAGGAAAGAAACAAGATTCTTTGCTAATATAGTAGATGCTTTTACAATTGTTATTACCAAATATATCAAAATTGGAAATCGACCCCAAAAATTGGAATTCCTGGTTCGTCCCTCTATGTCAAGCATATTCTTCTTCATTTTTTAAAGCGCAAGATCTTGTGTTAGGTGAAAGCAGTAACAGAAGGAAATGCACTAGTAAGCTACAAAGTTGGGATTTATACTCTTTAGAAACCATTCTTGGAGAACAATCAGCTTTGAATTATATTTTGGGATCGTGTGTCTGTGATTCAACGAGGCTTTTATTATTATTATTATTATTGGATAAGTAGGATTAATGAGAAGTTTGGTTGAATGCGTTTGATGTGAATCGTGAAATATCCACAGAATTGGAATTGGAATTCTATAGAATTAGAATTCTATGAATTGGAATTCTAAAACATTGGAATTCTTTTGTTTGGGAAATGCATAGAATTGATACAGAATTCATTTGGAATTCCAAATTCTTTGTTTTCCCTTGCAAAGATGCTACTCCACTTTGATGTCTACTGTTAAAAGCATATTTCTAAAACTTAAATTACCCTCTCCAGTGCAATGTGTTATTTCGAGTCCTGCCACTTAGGATGTAGTCATCCCATACCTTCCTGCATTAGGGAATATGATCAGTTCTGATGGGTCAATATTTATGTGTTTTTATTTGCGTATAGAGAGACCCATACTTCTTAATACTTTTAGATGTTAATCATACTTCATTTTGGTAAGTCAATATAACGAAAAAAAGAACAAGGGACCAAATAGTGGAAGCTGAAATGGAATCATGTGCTGGAAGAGTGTGTATGAGGAAGGGCAAACCGCTTGATGCTGTGTTTCCACATAGTAGTGGTATACACATTCTATTATATTTCAAACTATTGTTAAACAGATATTACATTTTAATTTTGTTGGTACAATTTTTTCACCTTTATTTGTTCACCCTTTTATTTTTATTTTTTTTAATAATGTCAGCACCGTACGTAGCACGGGTATTCCCACTAGTTAGTTTGTAATGCTGGATAGAGATTTTACAATTATACAATTTTTCACAACAATGAAATGGCATAGAAATTTGATGAAAAACATTAAAATTTTGGAAAAAAAAATTGTAAAGAGTAACAAAAATATAAAATAAGTATCCATTCTATATTCCTAGTAATTCTCATCCAGATTTTGCAACATTTATGTGAGTAATTAGAGGTGGCAATTTTTTTCATCCATATCCACCTCATTCAAATGGTTTTGGATTGCTAAAGAAATTTAGATTTATGCAAGTAATTAGAGGTGGCAATTTTAATTCATATCCATTTAACCATCTCTATCCACCTCATTTAAATGGTTTTGGATTACTAAAGAAATTTAGATGGACATTGATGTAAATCCAATTGGTTTGATGATTTTAAGTAGGTAATCCACATAATCCATCTAAATCCATTTAAGAAAAATGAACAACCCTAGATACTCGCTGCTTGACAGAAAACTATCAGACTCACAAATTTTTTCCATCCAAAAATTCAATGAAAGTCAAATGTCCCCACAAATTCTATTGTTTTCCTTTTATCACTTAACATTATCTATTTCAGAAATGCAAGCTTAAATCTACGCAGTCAAGGAGCATCATTCAAATAAATTGTAAATGAAAAGTGACAGAAAAAATGCTGATCGTAAATGAAAAATGATAGAAAAATAACTCAAAAAAAGCTAAAAACCATGAAAATGTCAATTTTATCAAAACAACTAAACAGTCTGATCAAGTCTAACTTTTGTGAGCCTCAACCCAAATTACCTTTCTTTTTAAGAAAAAATTTCTATCTTTTTGGTTCCTAGATTTGTTGTAAACAAGAGTTTACAATTTTTTTCCCCATATGTTCTTGTGATTATGGTTGAAAGATAAACCAAATTACTCGATATTCGAATTTAGTTTGGTTCGTCAATTAGTGTAGTCAAATTTGAATGGCGTTGTATACTCAACAACATTCAAACTTGATTAAGAAAAACTCATTCAAATTCGGCAAAAATTTCAAGTTCGTTAAAACAAACAAACAAGTTTGAACACTAGGACGCTCGATTCGATTCGATTGTTTGTACCCTACTTGTGATCAAGTTTTAATTTTCATGTTCAATTTCAAAGTTGCCATGTTGGGCTAACATTATCCACGGCGCATTCTTGAGCCCACCCTGTAAAGTAGCCCAGTTGGCTCTTCCAAGGGCTCTCCTTAGTCAAATAATTAATTTACACCTTAAACATATAAAGACAAATTACCTTTGATTTTTTTACAAAAGAAATAGTTTTATTGAAACTATACTAGATTCTCCATATGAGCACATTTTTGCACTTCACTTGTACACTTAATGCAGGCTGATTCAAGCACGTTGATATTGTCTAGTTGTTATATATGTCCATGGTTGATAGACAGTAATTAAGATTGTGCCACTTTGGCAATTCAAAGAGTAGTTTTTTCAAAGTGAAATTAATTTACCTTATGTTATTACTGGAGTAGAAGTATTTTTTCTGAACATGAAAAGTTTACCTTTTCTAAAGTTGATGTTAGTGGTAGAGCAAAAGTTTTTTCTGAAAATGAAAAATTTTACACCTTCTTTCCAAAAAAAAACTAACATTCTGGCAAGTAGAAGGCTCGGTGGTCATCACAGAAGAAACTTCCTTTATTCGAGTGTATGTGTATGTATGTATATATATATATATATATATATTTGGAGTATTTGTTCAGAATAATATTTCAAATTTTTCTTAATCATTTGATATATGTGAAATACAAAATTGATTAATAAAATGAAGGGCAAAAAAGTAGCAATTAAATTACTACTTGTGCCGACTTTTGACCATCAAATAATTTTTCGTTACAAATTAGTTACCAAATTAACTAATTAGTACAACTGTGATCATTTCAGCACATCAGTATTCAAGAATGAAGAAGCGCAGAGCTTCCCCGAGGAGAGCTGATCTGATCAGCTCGGGGTGTCGATGGGAGAGCTGATCCAAGACCTGCAAAACAGAGAAGATGAGCTAACAAAGGGGGCCCGAGGGTTGTCCCCGAGGGCGCTCCGACGGCCAAGTTAGTTTTCCGGTGAGTAAGGTTCACGGGAAGTAGCAACTGTCCAGAGTAAATTGTCAATAGTGAGCGTACCTTGTACAGGGGATGTGTGCTATTATTTATACTTGCGAGGGAGTCCGACCTCCGCAGGACGCGGGACTTGCCCGGTATAGATAGTACCCCGCACTCGGGGGGACTTCCTCCGACCTCTTCGGGCTGGACCTCCGCCTCCCCTGGGAGCCCTAGTTGGTACGGCCCAGGGCTGCT